GAAAAAGAAGATTTTAAGAGATCCATTCAACAACTTCTGCCGAACTTCTTACAAGTTCGAATCAAAAAAATCACAATACCTTGAAATGTTTTGGCAGCTTCACTTGATAGCACAACCAAAACAGAGCAAAGATCCTTCAAATTTTGTGATTGAATGATGTCTGCCATTAAAGACCTTCAAAAATTACACACATCAGTCCTAAAAACAAGCATATGGCCAACATTATATTGAATCAAAGCGATTATACCTATAGGTAAACTTTGAGGGACCCAACAATGACGGGCTTCCAACACCAGCAATGGGGAAGGATGGTAACGGAGGAGCAGTGGCTTTGACATGATTTGCCTGCCATGTACAGTTTACAATCTCTGATCAGTACAAGAGCAGTCCTATTAACACAAAGCTCACTGAGAACAACATTATTCATGTGAGATCCCACATCGGTTGAGGAGGAGAACGAAGCATTTTTTTATAAGGGTGCGGAAACCTCTCCCTAGAAGACGCATTTTAAAAACCTTGAGGAGAAGTCCGAAAGGGAAAGCCCAAAGAGGATAATATTTGCTAGCGGTGGACTTGGGCTTATTACAAATGGTATCAGAGCCGGACACCGAGCGATGTGTCAACGAGGAGGCTGAGTCCTGAAGGGGGGTGGACACGAGGCGGTGTGCCAGCAAGGACGCTGGGCCCCGAAGGGAGTGGATTGGGGGGTTCCACATCGATTGGAGAAGGGAACAAGTGCCAGAGAGGACACTAGGCCCCGAGAGGGGATGGATTGTGAGATCCCATGTCGGTCGGGGAGGAGAACAAAGCATTCTTTATAAGGGTGTGAAAACCTCTCCCTAGCAGACGCGTTTTAAAAACCTTGAGGGGAAACCCAAAAGGGAAAGCCCAAATAGGACAATATCTGCTAGCAGTGAGCTTGGGCTGTTACATGGATATTAATAAATTTCTATAAAAAAAAATTAAATGGTGAGACATTGTCTTATATTATACTAAATTATTGGGTTCACCTGTTGAAATGCTACTGGTCTATGAGTTGATAGGTCCTTGGCCGTCGATCCAAAGTAGAGTTCTTGACCTTTCCTTTTTTTGGAAACAGGAGGTGAAGCATAACCAGAGGAGCCAATAGCTCCAGTTATGGCAGCATTAGCTGCCTGCTGAATGAATACCATATTGTTACCATGGTCTCCATGGAAAAGAGCTTGTCTCTCTTCACTTCCCTCAAAATTCTTGCAGTCCATGCATTTACAATTTTCCGAGCAGAGAATGTTCGCCTGGAAACACTCGCAATATTTTTTAAGACAACCCGATTTCTTGCAGTGGCATCCCTTGTTGTGCTTACCCAACATCAGCAGCTCCCCCGCCTCCTCCTGCATGAATTCAAGACAGTCCATCACAAATTTCATCGACAAGTTCCACAGTAGATATGTACACATATCTGACGACATGCTCGTTGCAGCACGACTTCATCTAATCTACGTATATAACTAGAAGCACCAAATTTTTTACAGCTTCAGCAAATTACAAGCTATGATATGAACAAAAGGTAGAGCAATTGTTATTAAAAAAACTGTCATACTCGGTTGTCCCGCATTCCATGAGGACTGCTAGCAATTTTTGGTCGAAATGCATTTGGATTACGCTCTAATGTAGCTTCGACTGCTTCTCTTCTAGCAGCATCATTTTCAACATTGTTATAACAATTTAAGCAGTTGCAGCCATCACAGTATATTCCAGAAGCAAAGCATTCACAGTACCTGCTCAAGTTGACAGCATTAAATTTCAAATGATTTATAAACACAATAATTTAATTCCAGTTGTAAACATGCACGTTGAAGATATGATCGAACATGGAGACGAATGGTGATGAATCCTCAAACATAGACACCGTGAATGATAGCTAAATGAGGAAAAAACGACTCGAATCACCAAAATGAGTTTCGTAACATACACAAACGCACATGAGCATCTACTTTATCAGTGTCATCACAGAAATTCTTAGAAAATGTTTGCAATAAGCTCAATTCAGTAGTGCGGGCTACGATATGTTTGTAATAAGCTCGAAAGATCAAGAACTTACAATTTTAGACACCGCGAATGTTTACAGTTACACTGTTTTTGCTTCTTAGGAGTACTATCTTTAGCTTCAACAGCAGGCCTTGCTCTTGACATAGGGGAATCTGATTTCCTATTCAAGAAAAAAGCATCGTTCGTTAGTATAAAATGGCTTAACGCAGAAGTTATTTACTGAGCAATTTTTAATAGCAAAATCTATCTAAATCCAAATGATGAACTTGTAAATCTTACAGTGAATCCACAAGCTCAAGCGGCTTCATATGAAATGAATCGAATTAAACAATATCTCATTTGGATCGATGGCATAAAGTTTCTAATTCTATACTACGATTGAACATTAAATTAAGCAAGCGAGATTACAGAGACTTACACAGTTCTAACTGACGAATGAGGCGCCAAAGGTGCGATCGACGCGGCCACCATCTGCGGCTGTGGCTTCGGCTGAGCTTGCTGAAGATTCTGAGAAACTAATGGAGCCTGCGACTGTGAATGCGAGTTTGAATGAGATTGAGGATGCGGAGCGCCTCCATAGCCAGTGAAATCGAGCTGCCTAGCGAGCTTCTTAGACGGAATATCAGATGACGAAGAATTACTCAACGCTGCACCATCTGATTGAGCCTTCTTCGGAGGCGCACCAGCGGAATCTTCTTCCCCCATCGAATTCAAATCCTAAATTTCAATAATCTCGCCACAATTCCAAATTTTCCGATAAAAGAAAAACAAACTCGAACAATTAATCAACTCCTAAATTCAAAAACGGATTTCCCTCCGCCAACTTAAAATCGTTCAACTCCCCGATCCAAATATCTATCAAAATACGGCAAATAAAATTCCGAGAACACCAGATAAAATTATGCTTTTGCAGCTCAAATATTACGCCGAAACTCAGCAAAATGAAACCAAGATCAAAGAGACATTCGTCTACGCGTAACACAGCCACAGAGAGAGCAAAAAACGGAGCAGAAAAATTAAATTATTTAGGGTTTTTTTGAACTGTGAATTGAAGAGAGCTCCGAAGGACAGGAGCGAAAAGGCCTTTTGTTCATCTTCTTTCCTCCCTCTTCCGAGATTTTGAAATTTCAATTTTGTAAATATTGAACGGTGAGATTAACACCATTGCCTAAATCTAACGGTGAAAACAATTCGACATGATCCAACGGTGAGAATTCATAGAAGCAAGCCTCGTGGAGATTGTGAACCATCAGATTCTGACGGCTGTGGAGTTTCGACAAAGTTGTCGAGGGCAAGGATCCCGTATTTCTCACATCCATATCAAATAGCCATTAATATTTCACCACGTAATACATCTAAAACTTTTTGAACACGTGGAAGTGCGTAATTGGTTAAATAAAACGAAAAACTATGAGGATAAAAGAGGGAAGTAATCCAAGATTCCATCCTCTAAAGAAAGGAAATAAAACAAATTTGGCGCTAAATAGACTATCAGAAATTGTTAGACAGCCTAATAATTTCATTAATTCATTTGTTTACTTTTTTTTTTTTAATTATGTACAAAAATAATTGCCATTAAATTTTGTATTGTCGATTAAAAGTCATAAATTTAAATATTCCAATTTGCTTATAATTGAATTCAGAAAAAAAAAAATTGTAATTTTCTTTTAAATTTAGATTACATAGTAAACAAGATTTTGGTTCCAGTACATCTCCAAATTGTGTCGGAGATAATACTGTACAAGTTATTCTCACACCAGTTTGACCGGCTGGTTCGATCGAGCTCTTCTAATTTCATCTCTAAGTGAAGCTCGGTTCTATAAGACTAGACTCCTTTCATTCATAAGAGAATATTTTTTTCTACACTTAAAAATAATAATAATCTTTGAACTTTAGCAAAATAAATATTTTGGATTTATTATATTACATTTTCCCTCACATTTGCTATTAATTTGTTCCAATCAAAATAAAGGGAAAGATAAAAATTGTGACTTTTTTAAAATTTAAAGGCTAAAATATAAACTTTAATAGGTTATCAAAATCATACAAATTTATAGTTTAACAGGTTCAAAATAGATTTTAAATTTTATTTATTTATTTATTTAATATAAACTTGATTTAAAAATCTAGTGTATTTATAGATTCATCTATGTTAAAAACAATAAATATAACTAAAACATTTTTAGAAAATTAAAAATATAAAATATATCTCGTGTTCGCTTTTTGAGTCTATAAGTATGCCGTACAAAAGAAAGATTCTCCGACCATGATTTATGTACAGTTTTTTTTAGATCCTTTATATAAAGTTTTAACAAACCCACACAATACTCAATTTCTTAAGATAAAGTTTCCTTTAAAAAAAATATAACTTTAACTTACCTATAAAATTATAATATATTATTAAAATTATAATTTTGTGTCTAATCGGTCTCGGGTATATTTTAACTTACTTATAAAATTGAATTTTATGCCTATTAAAACCCCAAGTATATGAATTTAAAAAAAAAAACGATAAATAATCAATGATCCAATAGACACAATTGAAATATACGAAACCTATTAAATACAAATTAAAAGGTTTAAAGACAAACACTTAAAAAAAACGAGACTAAATAAACACAAAGTTCAATAAAATATAGATATTAAATTAAAAAGTACAAAAAAATCGAGAAACAAGTTTATTGATCTATTAGACATTTTTTTAAAGTTCAGGAACTACATAGACAAATTTAAAAGATCTGAGATCTGAGAGTATACTTATATTTTAATCTAACCTCGTAAATGTCTTAGCTAGCTTGCAAGTACTTGTACCCGAACCTGGTTAACCCTGTACATTTAATAGTAAAAAGATAAGGAAGAAATATACATATTAATTGTATTAGAGACCATCTTTGCCCTCAATTTTTAGGCATCCCTCCATAACTCTATTGATATCTTACCCTGTCAGCCTCATAGCAAGAAGAAAGCAAGAATGCAGCAAATACTTGAAATGTGTTCATTTGGAAGAAAAATCAAAAGCATAAAGCAAGAGAGAAGGAACCACATTCATGATCAGTTTGGCAGACAGACAAAACTTGAGGTCCTTGAAAAAAGAAAGGAAGGGAAGGGAAACTCACATCTTTTGGTTGTGCAAATATACACGAATTACATTAACAAACGCGACATTCTTCGAGAAGGGCATCGGAATGATCATTCCGACAACTGAGTTCTCCAAGCTTTTGGTGTTTTAAGTATGAAGAGCGATAACGGTATCGTAGTATACTAAATGGTCTGTTTAGGATTCAGACACAACATTCTTCGAGAAGGGTATTGGAACGACCGTCCCGACATCTAAATTCTCCAAGCTTTTGATGGTTCTAGTATGATGAGCAATAATGGTATTGTAGGATAAGAAATGGCCTGATCAAGATTCAGAATGTATCAAGGAAGCCTATACTTATAAGTAATGAGTAATAACTAAATTGAAACAAAGTAGAGTTTCAAATATTTAGGAGTACCTCGATCTCGATCCCAACAGTTCAATCATATTGTACGGAGTAACGAGTGGCCCTTGTGGTAACGTTCAAGGGGCCGAGTACGTCCATATCGGAGTCTGAGTCATTGTTGTTGTACCATCCTGCAGGGGAATCCAGATCCTGTCCAGTTCTGGTTGAAGGAATATGAAGCTCAGACAGGGGAACAGGAAGTGGCTCATCAGTGAAATACTTGTCTTGGAGCAATTCCATGGCTGTCGCCCGATTAGACGGGTCGTAGCAAAGAAGTCTTTTAACGATGGAAATTTCATCAGGAGATCGGTTGGGAAGACATGCTTCGAGGCCAATAGGCTTGTCTATGTTGTTGAATGATATGATCTGAAAATCTGGAAGTTTGGAACAACCTGGCCAAGAATCTTCAGTCAAGTTGCCTAGAGTAGTGAAAATTCTGCTCATTTGATCAATGTCAGCAGTTCCTGGAAAAAGTGGTTCCAATGTAAAAAGTTCTGCAAAAATGCAACCCAACGACCATAAGTCGATCTCCAAACCGTAGTTCGTAGAGCCATAGAGTAATTCGGGGGCCCTGAACCAGCGAGTTCCGACGCAAGAAGTGAGAGAACCCTGTCCATCATCTGCTGGAACTCCCCCTTCCATTTCATAAGAATATGATGAACCTTTAAATGGATCCTCTTCGAGATCACTCGTGGTACATGTTGCTATGCAAGACGTATCTCCATCATAAGTACATGTTTCCTTATCAAATTCAGTTTCTGAACTTTTTGCTTTCAGCTCGTCTAAAGCTCTAAAATACTCCTCTTTGCTAATTGGTTCTTGTTCTTCAGTTCTGTTTCCTTCTCGAACCGAACTTTCTGTTCCTGAAAAAATTGCAGGTGGCTGAGAAATTGCAGGTACTTGATCAGAAGAATTCATCTCATTGGATTCATCAAATTCTGGCTCCATCAATATTCTTGCCTGAAACCAACATCAAACTCATTCTTTTAGGAACTGTGAAACCAATATCAAATTCATGGATCTTCTGCTAGATTTGAGTATCAAGAATCAAAACTGAAGGAGATAAAAAGTGCCAATCTGCAGGAATCACATGTATAATGTCAAGTAAAGTTCAATATCATGGATCTTCTGCTAGATTTGAGTATCAAGAATCATAATCCTTCAACATGAACAGATGAACACCAAATTCAATCAATATTTCAGGTTACTTTTATGGTGAACAATCTACAAGCATAGAGTTACAAACAGTAGTTCCTCACGAAAACGAGCTAAATGCGCATTACTGTAATTATATTCTGAAAACTCTTTGCCCGCGGATCTTGGATTAAAAGAGAGAATGAAAGGGAATCACCTGTCCAAAATCGGCAAGTTTGAGCACGCCATCGTCGGCGATCAACAAATTGCTCGGTTTCAAATCCCTATGCACGATCATATTTCTATGACAAGCATCAAGACCACTCAAAATCTGGATCATCCATCGCTTCACCTCATCGACCGCGAGCCTCCACCCGGATTCTCCACCGCCCGATCCTCGCTTCTTCGCCTCCGCTATAACGGTGGCCAAATCCGTCTTCAGAAACTCAAGAACAAGCACAGCATCCTCATCCTCGCGCCAAAAGTACTCATGCAGAACGACAATATTAGGCGAACCTTGAAGGATTTGGAGCGCCTCGATTTCGCGGAACGCCGATTGATAATCGTGGATCTCCTTCAAAGCGACGATGACGCCGTCGGAGAGCCGCCGTGCACGGTGAACATCGGAATATGCGCCGGATCCGATACGCTCGAGGATCTGGTACTTCCGGATGATGTCCGGCCGAGTGTGGATGCTCCAGCTCTTGGCCGATGGAGATTCCATTTGGCAACGATGTTGGAGTGCGTGTTCAAGGGTTTTCGAAGATAGGGGTTATGAAAATTCGTTACAGTTCGCAGTTAATTTTCGCCGGAAGGCGAAAAAACAAGTCGCCGGACAGTGAACAACAGAAGCCAAATTCAAATGGCGCCGAGAATTAATATATTCATTGATTTTAGGATATTGTTTTATAAAGCAGAAAGATTTGACAAATACAGTACAAAATATGGAAACTCAATAAACTTTCTCAAAAGTTATTATCATTATAATTTAAAAAATAATATATATATATATATATATATATAT